TAACTGCTGGGTAGGCTCATATGGAAGGAGGCAGTCCTTCAAGTATCCAGGGCCCAAGCTGGATGTTGATGGAGATCCATCAAGGGGCCAAGGCTGTCCCAAGAAATATTGCTACCGGAGAGAGAGAGAATAAGACGGCACTTTCTCCATCCTCCCCATATAGGATCTGAATGAACAACTGGCCAGGAAGCAGAAACTTCCTTCCACGCAGGTGGCCAATTTGGCTTGTGGCAACTTTCAGTTTATATCCCATTCTTCTGAAGGATACAGAAGCATATCAGGCAAAAACAAATACTTTGTGGCACCTTAAAGACTAAGTGCCATATTTTAATGTGAGCTTTTGTAGACAAGTCCATGTCCTCAGACTCCCCAGTCACCACTCAACTTATACCTGACAAAGTGGGCTTGTCCACAAAAGCTCGTATTAAAATAAGAAGCCTTGTGGCGCAGCGGTTAAACTGCAGTAGTGGAGTCAAAATTCTGCTCACAACTAAACTTCAATCCCAGGTAGCCAGCTAGATAGCCTCAACCCTCCATCCTTCTGAAGTCAGTACTGTAAACTGAACTACCCAGTACTGTAATTATAATTGTAATTCTAATTTTATAATTTTATATATTTTACACATTATATTGTTCTGTTTTATCTATGTAAGCCGCCCCGAGTAGACATGGTCTAGAGGGGCGGAGTAAAAATCCAATAAATAAATAAATAATAAATACCCAGCTTGTTGAGGGGGCAATATATAGCCTGCATAAATAAACTGTAAACCAGCCAGAGAGTGCTTTACGGGTTATGCGGCAGTATATAAGTAACACACTTTTTTAAAATATAGAAGGTAGTCTTTAAAATGTGACAGCGTTTTGGTCTTCTTAATTTTTCCTTTGTTTTTGCCTAGCACAGACTAACACAACCTTTTCCAAAAGCCACTACTCAACTTTTTTTGGACCACAACTCCCCAAATCCCCCACACCATGGTGGTTCAACAAGACAAACAACAGGAAGATAAGCAGCCTTGGTACAACTTTTGTCTCAGCCGTGTCCCCTTTTAGGTAGAAAGAGAGGGGCCAAAGCTGCATAAACTTTTGGAGTTCAGTCCCTGTCCCAGCAGGGTCCATAGGAAAAAAACACTCTGTCACAAAAAGAAGGCCAAGTCCTGCCAGGAGGGGGGGGGAGCAAGGAACATAACTGTTAGCTTCCAGGCACCATGAGTCTGTGTACCACTGACCAGGACTCGCTTCCTTGCTTAGCCAAGAAGACAAAGATGTGGGATACCCATTTTCCATTCTCACAGTTCACAAGAAACTATATCTGCAACATAAGAAAAAGTACAGTACATTACACACATTAAAGAGCTGCTGGATAGCTCTATGGGTTAAGTCTCTGGCTGTGGAACCAGAGGTTGGGAGTTCGATTCCCCACTGTGCCCGCTTGAGAGGGGCTGGACTCGATGATCCACAGGGTCCCTTTTCCAGCTCTGCAATTCTAAGATTATTCTAAGATTCAAAAACCACCCCATTCTGTTGCAGAGGCAACAAAGAGAAGAAATACACACAGAGAGGTACCAAACCCCTCCCCATCGCAACAGCCACTGTCCAAATCACAATAAATTGTCCTGGTGTGGACAGCATTCACTGGAAGGCAAAAAAGCTGGTCCTCTTTCCTGCAGATTCTACTGCCCAATATTCAATGGGAAAAGTTGCCAAAATGTGGGGGGTCAGGTGGTGAAGGGTGGGAGCAGGGGAGGTAAGAGCTGAGTGCCAGTGGGCACGATTCTGTCCAAATGACCACCAGAGAAAGATGAGCACATATGAAGTGCTAGAGAAAAAGATGCAGAAGAAGGAACTTACTGCTGCCCCCAAAAGGTGAAAGATGGGCAGAAATAGGATTTATTGCCAGAATCCACTGATCATTCCCACAGCACTTACTGCACCTCTCCACCAGCAGCTGGAAGCGCCTCTGACGCCTTTCGCCCTCCAGATGTGCCAGACTAACAACTTCATCATTCTCCAGTGCTGCTGGGTCACGACTCCACCCACGGGAATAACAAGAAGTTGGAGCAAGGGACTCGAGTCTCTCAAGTCTCCTTGCATCGTCCCATCCACTGACAACACTCTCAATTTCTCTTTCCGATCCTTGTCAGCAACTCTATCAAGAGCAATGGGCAGCGCGAGGGAGCTAATAAAGGGGCCGTGCCCTTTTACACCCCACTGAAAAACTTATTGCTGCCTAATTAGACCCCTCTCCCCCGCCCCCTCCCCAAAGCAACCGAACTGCAAGAATGACCGCTTGCCCATCCCATGGCATGTGCAGAGCCAGATGCCCTCCCAGAATCTCATGATGATGATGATGATACCGTTATGAGTTTCCCAGCTCCCCGGATCTGGAACAACTGAGCGAGCCGCCTAGCCCTTGAGCATGTGCAGAGCGCCTCTGCGTCAGCCTCAACTCAAAACTCCGTCGTCCCACGACCCCGGAGGGCTTACAAGAGAGAGAGAGAAAGAAAGAGAGAGAGACGCGGGCGGCTCTCGCTCCCGGGCAGGGCGCAAATCGGCGCTGCACAGCCCGGAGGG